TAAGATACATCCCCAATCTGTCTACTCGTATTCCTCTCCCAAGCAACTTAATCTGTGTCTTCAAGGTCAACAGCAGCTTCCTCCCTGGCAGCCTTGCTACCAATGCATCTATATGCATGATCTGTCCTCCTCCACCCAGAGCCTCTGAGTCAGGAGATTTCAGGCTTCCTGGGACTTTATCCCCTCATGGTTTTCAGATTCATAACCATCTGCCTTCTCAGATGTGGTTAGTGAGGTTCAGGTGTAACATGTTGTATTAAACCAAAGGAAGCCTGTCCCATACATGTTCTCATTACATAGAACAAGAAAGGACAGCACCTTCCCCCAAGGAGCCAGGAGCAGCAGTTGTGAGAATCCCTCCCTTCAAAGCCAAATCTCCCTGACCTATTAAAAATCTGTTAAGTCCTTTAGTCTACACTCCACCTTTAGAATTTTCTAACACAATAGAACCTACATACTGGGAACAAGAATGGAGTCATTTTATATTTGTTCTGGCATTTTGGCTTTAGTTATGTTATTTGCTTTTTTTTTAAACGATTGCTAATGAAAGATATACATACATAATTTTTTTTAATCAGCTAGTTTCCTTTGACATCCTGCTTCCTGATGTGAGCCAGTACAGTAAACGGTGGTGGGTTTTCTCCAGTGTATTTTTGGAAGGAGAGGGCGAGCCGGATTGCTCAGCCATAGTATTTCCTATTTCAAGCTATGTTTTGTTTGTTTGCTTGTTTGTTTTAAAGTCCTCGGTGCTCCTGGCCCCTGTGTGTAGATAAGAGACCTTGTGGCTCGAAGCTTTTCTCTTGAGTTGACAAATCATCACCCTTTGTTTAACAAAGCTAAATGGAAGGGGGAAAAAAAGAAGGGAAAACATTTCCTAGAGATATTTAGCTGTACGCTTATAGCTGAAATCTGAAACTCCTAGGTTGTAAAAGTATTAATTGCGGGCTAGGATATCTGTGTTGTCCAGCCAGTAACGGTGTTTGGGGAACTTTGTTTCTCTTAGTCAACTCCCAACCTCCTAAGAGATTCGTTGGTGCCGACAAAGAAGGTTGTCTAGCCCGAGAGTATCCCAGTGTCCATCCTAACTCCTCATTCCGTTTTCTAATCTTGTCCCCAGAATCTGGATTTGCTCCAGCAGGAGCAGGAGCCTTGGCTCTGTCCGTGTGAGAGCTCCTATCCACACTGAAGCTTCTCAGCATTTCATTTGTATTATGAAAATCCACAGCCTCCAAATTCCCCCCTCCTCACCCTTTGTCTCTATGACTGATGA